GAGAGAGAGAGAGAGAGAGAGAGAGAGAGAGAGAGAGAGAGAGAGAGCGCAAGACCCGCAGCGTTGTAACTGAGTCTGAAAAATAAAACTTCTAAAACTTTCCACAAAATGTGTCTGAGTTTATAGAGGAAGATTTTAGAGAAGATCTTAAGTATCAAACACAACCTTTAAAAGACTACTTTATTACTCTGTCGTATTAATTTAACTAAGCAACCAATCTACTTCCTGTCTACACCGGCACCATCACGCATGCCCAGTGTTCATCATTTTCCATCATTTTCAGCCGTGTTAGTCTGGACGGAGATCATTTCGAAAACGATGCTGAAACGCCGTGTGGACGGAGATCATTTTCAAATGAAAACGTAGTATGGATGAGCCTAAGTCTGGCGAGGTATTATATGTATAGTATAAACATATAAGAAGGCCCTTCGTAATGCCAGAGCAGCCTACTACTCATCATTAATAGAGACAAATAAGAACAACCCCAGGTTTCTCTTCAGCACTGTAGCCAGACTGACAGAGAGTCACAGCTCTGTTGAGCCGAGTATTCCTATAGACGTCAGTAGTAATGACTTCATGAACTTCTTCAATGATTTAAATTATTAGAGACAAGATTAATAATCTCCTGCCCTCAAACGATACCAATTTATCTTTAAACAGGAACCCGAGGGACAGCAGCATGTGTACTAACCAAGACTAAGAAAACAGATCATATTATATATATCATTATATTAGCTTCTCTGCACTGGCTCCCTGTAAAATCCATTATAGAATTTAAATGCTGCAATCTCTACTCCAGATATTCATTGTTTTCTCACAAATGTATCACAATGCAGTCTTAAGGATAACACAGGTTTTGCATGGATACTAATGAGTATAATTGGCAACAGAAGAGAGAGACACCCAGTGGAACCAAATAAACTAGCAGACAAAGCATTTCAAAATAACCACATTCAAAAGAAGAGAAACACCAAGAAACTGGGGTATTCTGAGAACCCTGAACCACTCTTGCTGCAGGTGCAAAGTGTGTGTCTTACCATTATCATCACAGGAGTCAGACTGGAAGGAGCTCAGTGATTGGACCTCAGAGTTACTACTTTTGTTGCTCCCAGAAAAACACGTTACTTCTTCTGCCATGTCAACCATTTTACCTGATGGGAGAGGGGGGGGGGGG